TATAATTAGAAAACTGCAAGACAACCAAATCTGATTTATCCACTGCAAATTTCACTTTCATAAGATTCTTACATAACAAATTAAAATTGTGTGTATCATGTAACACTGTGGAGTAGCTCACCTTCTTTGTAGGATCCTCCTGGAGTTTGGAGAAGAAGAAGGCAACCAGATGAACAGCAAACATCTTGATGTGCAGCACACACAACCATGAAAACTCTTCCAGTAAAATGAGTTTGTGTTCTTCTGTCAGTGCACAACACAACAGCACACCACTGAAATGCTGTTGAAAAAGATATTTAGTGTGCACACAAATTGGAAAGTCTGTTTCTTCTCTCCTGTCCTCCTGTGACTGAGTCCAATGGGCAGAGACCAACCTCTACTCTAACTCAATGATTAACAATTAGCCAAACCCATTTCTCTCATCGTTCTGTCCTACCACCCAACCCTGTCTTCCTTTTTTCATTCCTTCCTGTTTCATTTTGTGTCTCTGTTGACGTATATTAGACCTTTACTGAAGTTCTGCAGAAACCATCCTGAGGCTGAATTTTGTTAAAATGTCTGAATTGGTGCACAACAAATCTAGAATATTTTCATTTGATGGAAGCGGTGCAGCCATTTCATTATAGCTTCAGTGAAGAGTTGGAACAAGCTGAAATAGAATATTCATGACACCATGGAATAAAATTACTAAAAAATAATTAAGCTTTTAATAATTACTTAAATGGGAAAACAGCATTTTAAGGGATTAAAATAAATGTATAAGCAGGTAACTCTAGAATTTGTACTTTTCCAACTTGTGGCTTATGTTCCTCTTCATTCATGACTTGTGATTGATCTCTAGTGTATGAACTAATATTTGCTGTTTTGTAATGATTTAATCTTTTTGTTGCCTCATGTTTCATTGAAAATTCATGTGAAGGATGTGAATGAATTATGCTGACTGCCGTTTAACAATGTGACCCACCTTTCAGCAATAAGTTACTTTTAAACATGAAATCAAGACAGTTAAAACACAGTAGATTTTTATTTGACATACGTAATCACATTAAATATACAAATGAGAAAAATATGGTATATCATCTATATAGACACTAACAGGTCTGCACTCAATTAAAAATGTTTTCCATGTCATTTCAGATCAGTTTAACTTAAAGAGATTGCCCACATAGCCTACATGCCGTTCAGAGGTTTTACATTTGAGTATTCTGAGCAAAAGGACAGCAAACTTTTTCCAGGCCTGCATAACACACGCACTAAGTGCATGTATTAAAAATGTTTTCCTGATCATAGTGCTTCTAAAAGAGCATTTATGACGGTGTGAACTGAACTCTACTGAAACATTGTGTTAAACCAAGGTGTTGTCAGTTTGCAGGTCGGAACTGAAAACCAGCGGTAGCTCAGGCAGGACATGACAATAACCCACCACCATGTCTCTACTCCTCATTTGTTGTTGAGCTAATTCCACTAATTAGACAACAAGTTTTCAGTTTCCATGGTGAAGGGCCACTAGCTAGTAACCAGAATAATCTTCAAGCACTAGTGACTGTTTGTATGTTGGAAGAAAACCTTTAATGTAAGATTTTGTTCACAGTGAAAATAAGTAAATTACATGACAACCTCCAAATAATGCAGCTTTCTGGTGTAAATCTCAGCTGATCATAATTGAAGACACAGCTCTTGCTCAAAGGTCCCATTTTGGCATTTCTTTTTTAGCTTTAGCTGAAAAATACTTTTAGTATTACTTTTAGCTTAAAACTCCGCATAAATGTCAATCACACCACCAGATGTTATTCAAAGCTTCCAAGGATCCCAGTTATTGATCTCCATGGGAACAGCACTTATCATGTATAACAACCAACGCATTTTCCTCTTCATTTCTACTATACCTTTCCCCCTTTCTCTTGGTTGCCCTCAGGGTCAAGTGTGCTCTGATTGGTAGAATCCTGCTTTTGATCTTTAAACCACTCCTTCTGCAGCTCCTGGAGCAAATGAGGAGTCAGCAGCCCGTCTTTTATTAGGCGATAAGCCAGAGAGCTTTCCTTCTCCTTACTGTCACCTTTCTGTCCCTTTTGACTTCTGCTGACAGTTTTATTATGCCTCTTGCTCTGTTTCTGTAAGAGGTCAGTGACGGGTGGGTCAGTGGCTCTGATGAGACGGGTGATATTGCGGACACCCTCCTGGATGATGTCATCAAGTTTCTGCTGGATTGCTCGAACCATGACCGTGTCTGGAAACATGTCCATGAAGCGGTAGCTACAGAGACAGAGACAGAGACAGACAGAGACAGACAGAGACAGACAGAGACACAGAGAGAGAGAGAGAGAGAGAGATGAACCGCAACATTAGTAGGCAATCAATGATGAGCACAGTCCCCTATAGTAATGTATAGTTAAACTATTAAGAAGAGTCAGGAGAAAGTAGTATGATGATGAAAGTCACTGCACCCAGGTTGCGAGTAGAAGAAGTGGAAACATAGTGTTACCTTAACCAGAGGTAAAGATCCAACACATCATGAACAGCTTCCAAGTGAACCAGGTCTTTAATGTTTTTGGGTGGAGGCAGAGGCCAGTGGATATGGCGACAGATCCAGTCAAATGTCAAGGGTTCGTCTCGACTGAACTGACGGGCAAACTGAGAGAGAAACAATATTCAAATCATTACAGGACAGCAGTATTTTGCTAAGCATTTACATTATAAGCTTCCTGACCACTCTACAAGCAACATTAATATTAGAAGTTACTACTTGACCCTGAATCTTAAAGGTTACTTGTTAAGGGATAGTAATTTAATTCCGGTGCTAATATTGTTTTATTGCTATGATATAACCATAAAGTGAGAGGGCAAAGATACAGTGCCTACAAAAAGTATTTATTGGACACTGAATCCATGAATCATTTTTAAAGTAAAAACAAATCTTTGAAAACTGATCTGAATGGTCAATAAACTATACAAGAAAGTACTTTTTTTTTTGCTGGATTAACTGCACCCAAAAAAATCCTCATCACAAGATGAATACCCTCACATACTTGATCTATCTATGTCCCCTCATAGTGCATTCATCAATGAATTGTCAACTGCATTGGTAGGAAAAGGGGAAACGTAAGAGGCCATAAACTGCTGACTTGGTTACATTCTTAATGTAAAATACGACATCTTTAAATGTGGAGATTATTTGTGCGATTACACAAGGGTGTGGACAGTTAAAAAGTGAACTATTTTTCCTCAGTGTTGCTACTGCTCATCAGCTCATTGTTACTTCCTTCCTTTTCTTTCCATATCTTGTGCCTTCTTACCATGTTTACTTAAACTGACCTTTAGGAAGGAGGTGCAAACAAAAAGCTGTTTCCTGTTGATGGGAGCAGTACAGAAGACGTAGCGGGACCTCAGGTTGAGTGGGATATGCTGAATCATATCAGCCAGAAACTTGAAGTCATCAATGTTGCAGACAAAATACATACCGTCCACCTGAGAGAGGCTGACAAATATGTCCTGTGAGAAAGGACGGAAAGAGAGAGGATTCACAAAGTTTGTCAGTTTTTAAGTGATTTTCATTCATCGTGTCAAAGTGGCAGTTGTGTGACAAGATGGCAGTTACTTCAGTCAACCTTGCCCTGCAGTCTTAGATCTCAACCAAATAAGCACACAGCATGAAACAGTCCCTCCCAAAACTATTACTATTAAAATCAACACGTCAAAGAATTCAGGCTGTTCTGGGGACAAAAGGAAAAAAGTCAAATCAATCAAGGTCCACTTTTGCCTTTTGCGGCTCCAGAAGGAGTTGTAAGAGGTGGCATAAATTGCCTCAATTGATATCACTTAATGACACAGTTTTAAAAAAAAATTGTCTGAAGGGCAAGAATAAACCTTCAAACTCAAGATATACTAATAATGTGAAAACTGAGTGTACAGCACCGTTCACTGTCCCATGGCTGTTATATTGTCCCACTTTTCCAGCTCAATGTGATTTTTCTTTTCACAAACTGTTGCTTTCATTCTTAATAAAAGTAGGAGAATGAACAGTTGCTATACTCACAATGAGGTTTGACAGTGTAGCATCAGGTAGATGATAGGCAAACATCTCTATCTGCTCTGCTGTAGGATGCAGACCTGCAGTCTGAGACAGAGGAGGAAAGATAAACATACATAGCCAAGCTGAGTTTCCAAGCTTTACTTAAGAGTGTGTGTCTGTGTGTAAATGATCACCTCTATGGGGTCTACTGAGTGTTTGAGTATTTCCTTCAGAACAGGCAGATCGTCTCTGTGCATGGTTGTAACTTCTCCATCTTTAAAAATGGAGGAGAACCTGGGTGAGGGGACAGAGGAGACTGGTTTAACACATTACACTGACAGAAATTAAAATGGTTTGCGGATACCTTTAACACTCCTGGGGATGATAGAGGGAAACATGAGACTGACCTCCCTGCGCGGCCAGATATCTGCAGGGCTTGTGATGTGCTGATGGTCTCCATCTGTTTCTCCCCTTTCTCATTAATGTTAGGCTTAACCAGACTGTTGAAGATGATCCGTTTTATACTCCTGGAGAGAGAGGGGAAGACAAATTAATAGATATGAGCTGAGCTGATGGAATCTACACAATTTCTTCATGATAATTAAACAATTACACTTCTTGTTGGATGAAAAAATATAAATACCATGATAATAATACAGTGTGTGTGATGATACTTACAGATTAAGGCCCATTCCAATAGCATCTGTGGCAACCAGTATCTTGCAGGGGTCGTCAGGATCATTGAACTTCTTAGCCTGTGACAGCTTAGTGCCTGTAAATCACACAACAACTGAGCTTGGTCTCTGTCTAGAGATTATTGCAAAAGTCACACAAAAAGCCAAAATAATAGCTGGTAAAAAAAATAAGTATAAATAACAGGAAGCTTTACTTTTATTTAATTTTTAAGATGTTTTCGGACAAACGTTTAAGCTGAAACCAATTAACATTTTTACAAATAGAGCGCACTAGGAACTAGGAACTGATTTAAAAAGTACTTTATTCACACATGACCACCTCTAATTTTAATAAACATGCAGACACTAATTTATAGAAAGAACTTTCCTCTTTATCTTTGCTGCTAACCAAGATGACATACTGGGTCTACACACAACCATACATAAATCTATACGTTCTTCTAAAACCACTTACAAACTCACCTGGAGGTAAACTCCCATAAATCACAGCACATTCTTTCCCCCTGGCCTCAATCTGTCTGCTTATGGAGTAGATGTCATTTTTATTGAAGCAGACAATACAATCTCCTGGACTTAAGTTGTCTAATGACTCAACAGCTTGATCCAAGACTCTGATTGGAGTTAAA